TCTCCTCTACAGTTACCCCTTATCACTTCCCTTCTCGACTGTCACCCCATATCACTTCCCGTCACCTCAACTGTCACCCTGTGTCACTTCTTGTCTCCTTGACTGTCACCTTGTATCACTTCTTGTCTCCTCGATGTCACTTCTTGACTCAGTCACCCCATATCACTTCCTGTCTCTTTGACAGTCACCCCATATCACTTCCTGTCTCTTTGACAGTCACCCCATGTCACTTCCTGTCTACTTTGTAGGTTTAGTTTTTAGTTAAGAGTTCATGATTTCAGACAGATGTGTCTGTCTGACCCAACAGGAGTGAATCAGGACTCGGTTCTTGAAAATATAAACAGATAAATTACAGCTGAGATTTGATTGTTTAATAAAATTATCTCAGTTTAAAACCATTAATGAGTTAAAAAAGTTTTTCTTTTAATTATTTTTTTTTACACATTTTCTGAGTAACAGACATTTACAAAAATTATATTAGATTAAAGTTACATTTAAAAAGAATAAAAAAATGTGTTTCAAAGCTGGACGAGGTCTTAATTCATCTGCAGGTTTTTACTCTATTCTGGACAGAAACAAACTTGTCCTCAGGGTTTGACAGAGGAGTCTGCTGGGTGACGATGTAACACCTGCAGGCTTTAACAACTAGAGTCTGAACTAAAATACACAGATTAAAATTCAGTTATGCTGACATAAATAAGTAAATGTAGAACTCTGTGTGAGATTAAAAACTGTAAAGTTAGAAAAAATCAAATGTAAAGTCACAAATGACAAAGTGAGGATGGAGAATGGATGGATGAGGAGGAGTGGCTGGATGTGGGTGGAGCTTCAGGGCATTCTCAGTCGTCGCAGCCCAGCAGCTCCAGGCGCAGAGTGATGCGCTCGTGCCATTCCCAGGGAACGACTCGTACGTAGCGAGCGTAGAACGGAAGCTGGAACACGTTCTTCTTATGAGAGCTGTTGTCAACGTTTCCCTGGAAGATCTGAAGAGAGAAGACAGGATTTTACAGCCGTTTGTTGTCAGGAATCAGCTAAAGGACTCAGCCGAAAGACCCAGCCGAAGGAGATCGGCGAGTTGAAGCCTGTTTTGTAAAAACATCAGGCATAATCTTCTTTCAGATGCCGTTTTTCTCTTTAAATAAAGAAATCACGAAGAGAAGAGATGCTTTGAGCATGCAAATGAAATGTTAGACAGCTGGAATGATTTAAAGACTAACATTTACATAAAAGTGTTTTAAAGAAAAGTTTGTCACTAAAGACAGTCCAACACAAGCCTGAGCTTCCAGTTTTATGAATTCTTTCAGCATTTTTCCTGATTTACAGTCTCACAGGTCTACAGATACACAATAAATGAGAATAAAACTCTTCATTCAGACTTTGAATGAACCTGAATGCGGACAGGTTTAGTTCAAGTCAGAGATGGTAAGCTGGACTCAGGTGAGCCTGTTGGTTCAGACCTTGTCCTTGGTGCCGTCCTCGTTCTTCACTGTGCTCCACGCCGTTCCATCATGGCTGAACACAACTTTGAACTCTGACACGAACTGGACCACCCCGAAGTCCTTCGCACCCTGAGTGATGATGCCCGTGAGACGTTTGGTCTTCCCTAAATCAACCTGAGGAGAGAACAAAAGAACAGAGTCTGAGTCTGCAGAACCATCTGGCTTCAGAGTTACTGAGGTTTCCCCGGACCTGGATCCACTCGGACCGGTTGTTCTGGGCCGGGGACCAGGCGTTGGTCTTCCCTGCCTTGTCCAGCCGGGCGAACTGAGGGTGCCAGGTAAAGGTGTCAATGCCCCAGGTCCGGAAGGTGCTGGAGGCTGAGAGCTGCTCGTCAGAGATGAGCCGAGACTTCATGCCCAGAGGTTCTGAACAACCTGTTGTGTTCGAGGAAACTGGAATGAAAACAAATGAAGGGAACGGGATGGAGCAGAGTGAATCCACCCGAACAGGAACCAATCCAGCCTCCTTTACCAGAAGATTCAGCGGAGCGGCCAATCAGAGCGCTTCGTTAGAAAAACAAAAACAAACAGTTTTCTGTTTACTACAGCTGGGATCGTCTGGTTCTGATCCTTCTGGGTCAGGGTTCAACTCAATTTGTCTCATTTTAGGCCAACTTTTGACTTTTAAACTTTTCTCGTGTTCTGGTTTTTGTCTGTTTGACAACATTTTACCACCTGCTGCCCTGAAAGATGGGCGCTCATGTAATTACCTCTGTCTGAGGAGTCAAATCAGTCACTAGTACAGATAAAACAACAAAGTCCATGCTCAATAATCCAGGTATACAATCCAACATTTTTCAGTCAGGTCATCTGGACAGTTTCTTTTTTTTTGCTGAAACGTTTTGCCTTCGATCCGGAAGTCTTCATCAGTCAAGGAAACACAACACAAAATTGATTCTTCCCCCAACAGCTTACTCCAAAGTGGAACAAACCAGTTATGTTGGTGCCAGTTTGACATGACTGTCAAGAAGGAAGAAGGCCGGTAATGGAGGAGGGGGCGTGACAAAGAGACCATCTTAGCACCAACATAACTTGTTTGTTCCACTTTGGAGTAAGCTGTTGGGGGAAGAATCAGTTTTGTTGTGTTTTTCCTTGACTGATGAAGACTTCCGGATCAAAGGCGAAACGTTTCAGCACAAAAAAAGAAACTGTCCAGATGATCTGACTTAAAAATATTGGACTTGTACAGATACTTTGGTGTGGTAGTAGCTGAGAGTCATCCCCAACACACACTCTGAGGGCTGACAGATCGTGTGACATGTTTCAAACTCTGAAGGGCGGCAGGTGATACGTGCTCCTCTGAGAACTGATGGGTTTTAATTAATTTCTGTTTAATTATATAAGTTTAGAGTCAAAAAACAACAACCAGTAAAGCCACCCTGCAGAGGCTTTAAGCCCATTTCTGCAGCTTCTTGTAGCCGTTCTCCGTGTCTGTTTACCGTTGAGCTCGCAGCCCACCAGCTCCATGCGCAACGTGCACGCCCTGCGGCACACCACCGGGACGATCCGGAGGAACTGAGCCACCACAGGGGGGTCAAACATGTTGGTCTTTGTGCTGTCGTTATCCACGTTCCCCACAAACACCTGCATCTCACAAAAAGAACAGGTGAGAACACCAGAGGAGCTGCCTGTTGATGGTCCGGACGTGACCTCTGACCTTTTCCTTCCGCAGACCATCCCCTTTGTAGGTGACGTAACTGGTTCCATCCAAGCTGCTCGCCACCTTGAAGGCCTTGATGTACTCAGCCGCCCCCATCCGACTGGCCCCCTGAGTGATGATCCCCGTCAGGCGCATCTTCTGCTGCATGTTGATCTTAAAAGGTCAAAGGTCAAAGGTCAGCACTATCACTTCTTGGTTGAAGACTTGGAAAGCCTCTCCCTTCACCTCAATCCAAGGGTTCCTGTCATTAGATGCGGAGGTCCAGGCGTTAACGATGCCCTGGTTGTTGAGTCGGGCCAGCTCCGGGCCCCAGCGCTGAAGACCCAGAACCCCGTAGTGCACGGAGGAGGCCGAGATCTGGGACTCCACAATGGCTCCTCCTTCCATCCCCAGCAGAGAAATACACCCTGAGACAAAAAAACACTCCTCAAACATTCAAAACTGAACTTGTGCGTCAGAACAACGTTTACACGCCTGGATCTTTTAAAAAATGGGTTGTGTTCGTAAACAGAAGTGGTGCGTTTCTGCGTAAACGTAACGGACGTACGGAGCTGGCACTGCTTCCCAACGTACGGCGAGGCGCAGAGGCAGCTGAAATCTCCATCCAGATCTCGACACGTTCCTCCATTCTGACACGGCTTGTTTGCACAGTCATTCACATCTGGAAAACAAAACAACAACAAATAAACAACAAAAAAAAAAAAACATTTTATCTCAATAAGTGAAAAGAAATGACAGAAGTTAAAGACAAATTCTAATAAACATTAAAAAACACAATTGTTGGAAGGAAATACAAAACTCTGCGTGCGTGTGAACTTGAATTGTATTTATCCACAGAGTTGATGTGGTCAGTAAAATGTTGGACTTCCTGGGATTTAATTTTAACCCAGGTGTCGTCAACATACCTGAACCAATGACTTGGTGGTGTCCCTGAAAAGGATGTCAAGGCTCTCTTTTCTACCTCCTCCATGTACAGGTTGGCAACAATAGGAGAAACTGGAGACCCCATAGCACACCCATGTTTCTGCCTATAATATTGCTCCCCATATGTGAAGTAGGTTGACTGCAGGCACAGTTTCAAGAGTTGACACAGTTGTTCTGTGGAAAGCGTGGTCCTGCTGCTCAGAGTGGTGTCTGATTTTAATTTTAAACTGACCACCTCTACTGCATCATCAACAGGAATGCACGTAAAGAGTGATGTGACATCAAAAGAGATAAATGTTTCATGGTTCCTCTGGTAAAGAAAAATGTGTACAAAAGTCATTTGTTCCCTCTGCTGTGAGTGTACTTAACATGGTCCTATATAAAAACACAGCCACACATGACAAACCATTGTTTGCTGGGATGTTTTCATATTTGTAATGCATCGTGTATTTTAGAGTGTTTTCTTTATTGGGATAGTAAAACTTCATACATTTTATGACATTTTTAACTTGTGTTGTTTTTTTATGAGCCAGATGTCAAAAATAAATCTCCATTTCATGGAATGTTATGAACAATAAAGTTATATTGATCAACTGATTGATCAGTCTCCATGTTGACATCCCTCACCTTATCCACAAAGTCCATGGTGTTCTGTATGTGATGTTCTGAGATGCGAACATTTCACTGATCACATCAACTCTGTGGATAAATATATAAAGTTCACACAAGAAGATGGCAGGATTGTTGGTTTGAGAGAGGAGTGAAGGAGGCCATCTTTGCGAAGAGAACCCGTCCATCATTAAACAGGAGCGGAGGCCTCCATGTACAAGAATGTTGTTATTGCTAGTGTCACTCAGCCCCCTATGGATAGTAAGCGACCATCAGGGCACTATAGTGATAAATTGTTAGGCTGATGGCCCTTTTTACATGTGAACAGCTAGTTCTGGCTGTCATCAGCAAACTGTTTGATCCACTATGAGAAGGTGCTATTTATAAGACTGAGCTTGTTGCAGCTCCTCAGACTGAAGAAGTCTGTTGGATAAAAAATGAAATGTTTCAACAAAGAAGAATCTGTTCAGAGGAACCGACTCAACCTTGTTAGACTTCTTACTACCTTTTCCTCTTGGCCTCTTCAAGCCCTGTTCTCAGTTCTTTTGAAAGAATTGTTGCGGATTCAGGTTGTTTAGGGCTGTGTTTAACTTTAATGTCGGGAACATGCCATCCTCTCACTCGCCAGCCCAGAGGTCACTAATGATGTTTTTAATGATTCTTAATTAGGATTTTAGATCCACAGCGATTCCATAAAAGTTAAATGAGCTCCTGAACTTGCTTCTTCCAAGACCAAACTCAGAGGTTCACCTACATCTTAAGGATAAAGAACATTCTGGAGTGCATTAAAAACAGATCTGGTTCTGTTCTGAATATCCCTGCATGGGCTCAGGAACCCCTCCACACATCAGGGAAACCACAGATGCCACGTCCTCCATACTAAAGAGGAGGGGGACCATCCTCTAGCCTGTTATCAGTTCAAAATTCTGCCTCTCTTATGGTATGGGGGTGCATTAGTGCCACTGGTATGAACAGCTTACACATCTGGAAAGACTCCATCAATGCAGAGAAGCATCTACAGGTTTTAGAACAATATCTGCTTCCATCCAGCAGAGAAGATCCAGGACCGTAGAACAGCTACAGTCCTCCATCAGACCAGAACGGGACAACATTCCCTCTAAAACAGGGGTGTCAAACTTTTGTACAAAAGGGACCAAAATTAAAACCTTTTTCAAACTAAGGGCCACTTTCAAAAACTACATTAACTCAAATCAGATACCCAACATCTTTTCTTGGTCACAGGTTCCTCAACAAGCATTTGATTGGTCTCATTTTGATGTTCTCTGTTGTGCTTTCTACATCATCATCAACGATTACTGAAAAAATTCAAGAGATAGAAGTATTTTACGTTTCACATATCATCTTGGGGGCCAGATAAGACATCAACGAGGGCCACATTTGGCCACCGGGCCTTGATTTTGACACATATGCTCTAAAACCTCCAACAATTGGTCTCCTCAGGTCCTGGAGGTTTGCAGACTGTTGTTAGCAGACGAGGGGAGTCTTCTCAAAGTGAACATGGAGATGACCAACTTTAAAACATCAGATTCAGATTTGCCCAACATTTTCCTAGACATTCTTCAGTTTTTCAGCTTCAGCAGCTGATGTGTTAACTTTGTCCCACGGTGAATAAAACGTGGGTTCATGATTGTGTTCAGTCTTTATTCACATTTTAAACATCTAACTTTGTTGGGACTGAGGTCGTAGACCAACAGCGTGAGTTCAGCTTGTGAGAGGTAAAGTATTTCTATACAACATTTTAAAAGAATAATTTCCTTCATTAAAGTAGAAGTTGTTGTGAATGAGGCCATGAGGGAAGTGAAACCCTAAACAGATGAAGTCTCGATCCAGAAAGGAGGACGTGTGAATGCTAAGAGACTCCGAGCGATCCGCTCCTAATTAACCAAAGAAAAGCCCTGAATGAGTTCCTTTCACGGATCTGCTGAGTGGACTCGTCTCTTTCACTGCAGAGGATTGTGGAAGCATGAAAACACCCTTCATGTGTTCGCAGGCTCAGAGAAATGGAGCTTCGGGTTCTGACTGAACCCACTGAGTCCTTCTAGTCATTGGTTATGTCCTAAAACCTTCTGTAGCTAATATCCTACAGTGGGTGGGTAAAAACTCACTGGTCTGGCAGTGAACGCCCTCGAACCCCGGCTGACACCTGCAGACGTATTCACTGAAGACGTCACCTCGTCGGGTCGGACCCACCGCCTCACAGGACCCGTCGTTCCTGCAGGGGTTCGGACTGCAGGGTCCTGAGAGAGGCAGGAAGGAAATACTTTCACCTCAGTTGTGTTCTTCCGTCCGCAGCACTCGTTTCCCCGCCCTACCTGTCTCCGTCAGGTTACAGGTGTCTCCATCAAAGCCGTCTGCACAGATACAGATGAAGGGCTCCTCTCCGACACCCATCACACAGGTGCCCCCGTTCTGACAGAAGTTCACCTGACAGAACTCACCTTAGGAAGAAACAGCAAACACAAGTCAACAATGTGCTGGTGAAGATTCTCAGTCATCCAGGACTTGGTTAAAAAAAAAACGTTCAGACAAAAACTGAGAAAGCTCCTCGGATGAGAAGCAACACGTCTTCACCTACAGAGCAAAGTCCAGTTGTTTTTGTCTTTAATAAGCCAACAACATTACAATGTGGTGAAAATGTAAACTTTCACTTGACCTAAAGACCAGAATCCTGGACTAAGGTTCTGGTTTTAAAACGTCTCCTCAGGGATATTCAGCTCTTTCTCTCTCAGCAATCTTCAGGACAAATGCTTCGACAACTCGTAATAAATCTTTAGTTTAATTTATTTTATTTAAGGGAGAAATTACTTATTGTGAGTGTCAGACTGGTTCTGGTATCTGAAGGCGTCAGATGGAGCAGGACAGGTTTATCCTCAGGATTATGAGTTGCCAGGATTAGTCTGGTTGTTTGTTTAGGGCCCAGGGAAAACAAGTGAGAAGACAGGCAGCACACCTGTGGGACAGGTGGTGGTGGGGGGATGTGACCCCAGAGACAGAAGCAGGTCCATCACACCCGGGACCCATTTAATCCCTCCAGATCAGGCTGCAGCTGGACCTGGTCGGGTCAGCTGGGTTCCAGACAAGAAGCAGATGGTGTTATTTCCTGCTCCATCTGACCTCTTGAGGTGAAAACATGAAGGCATCTACCTATGAAGTGGCTCCTCTGACTCTGTGGACAAACCTGACAGCCTGTGTCAGTAAAAACTGATCTGAGTCACATTTAAAGACCAGGAGAGTAATGAGCAGGTTCAGGATGTAAACCACAAGAGAGAGGAGGACAGAAACAGCCTCCTAACCTGAAGTCACTAACCTCCGACACAACAAACTACAGGCAGTTCTTACAGGAGACTTACCTCTGACCGAGGACAGGTAAAACAGCAAAATCAAAGCTCCTAGAACTTCAGTAACTGGGTTCCTGCTTCCTGAAATCTTCATGTTTCTTCCCTCTTCTGGTCCTGAACTCAATAGGCGCTTCCTTCAAGTTCTGTCGGAAAAATCAGAGATCACAACGAGTACTCCGGCAGGGAGCCGAGACGTGCTCTGATTGGCTAGCTCCAGCGGGAGCTCAGGGCACGTGACAACCTCATCATCCAATAGGCGAAGGGCTCGGCGAACTGAACTACAGAAACACTGGAAAAGCAATAGGCAAAGCTATGCGAGATCGTGGCCACCATCTTCCGAAGTGCTACGTGCATAATTCATTCATTCATTTAACCTTTATTTAGACAGGTTAATCCCATTGAGCCTCGGGAACTCATTTACAAGAGAGACCTGATTTCTTAATAAAGAGTGATGACAACAGTGAATAACAACGACAACAATAGACAGTCATAAAATAGGCATAGGTATACAAATTTAAGTTTCTCTTTTTTTTTTTTTTTTATAAATCAAAACAATCAAAACAAAATAGCAACCAAAAGGACAATCAAGAGGAATAATAGCAAAAAACAGCTAGATTGTAAGGCGATTTAGAAAACTAAAAACAGGAACATCTTTGGTTCTATGTCGTATAGGCTTCGCCCTTTAAGGCTGTCGCTGATGGGTTTATCCTGTTATGCGCAAGCATCATAACGGGATAAACCCATCAGTGACAGCCTTAAAGGGCTACGCCTATACTCATAGAATCTGGGGTTACAGTACGTAACCAACGTTTTTCCCAGGAACTTAACAGTTGTTTAAAGTCACTTAGAGAGGTCAAGGTCGAGAGCGTCAGGTCTTTTTGCAAGATATTCCAGGAAACAGGAGTGGAGTAGGAGAAGGCCCTTTTGCCTAGTTCAGTCCTCATTGAGGGAACACTGCATGTAATAATGTCCTGAGAGCGCATGCTGTCGCAGTTACAAAGTGTTTCTTAGCATTCAGAATTAGACAGGATCTATTTCTGAAAAAGAAACCAAGTTTAACATTCAGTTTTCTTACTAGGTTTTCCACGTGAAGCATAAAAAAGAGATGCGAGTCGACCAAGATACCCACATATTTATAGGAATCAACAAACTCAACAGGACACCATTTGAGGGTAAAATAAGAGGAAGAACTAGAGGAAGAACTGATAGGACTGACTTCCTGTTTGAAAAAAGCATCTCTTTGGTTTTATCGCCATAGTTTTGTTAATTTGAGTTGGTGTTTGTAGTGTCATCAGTCCAAAACTGTCAGATTAATACTTATTGGATTGAAATAACCACATATACCATACCATACCATACCACTTTATTTATAAAGCACTTAAAACAGCAACAAGGCCAACCAAAGTGCTGTACAGACAAAACAACAGGTAACACACAAAGCAAAATACAAAATGAAGTAAATCAGAATATAGACATAAAAACGATGCAGGTAATGACGACTAACCAGTGTGGAGCATACAGGTTCAAAACACAGATCATCTGGTGTTGAAAGCTACTGAATAGTAGTGAGTTTTTAAATGGGACTTGAAAACCGAGAGGGAGGGGGCCTGTCTGACAAGCAGAGGTAACTCGTTCCAGAGTCTTGGTCCTGCTACAGAGAAGGCCCTGTCCCCTCTGCACTTAAGACGAGTTCCTGGAACTGTGAGGAGCAACTGATTCGCTGACCTCAGGGAACGTGGTGGGACATACGGTTGTAGCAGATCAGAGAGATGGGGGGGCGAAACTGTTCAGTGATTTGTAGACATACATCAGTATTTTGAACTGGATTTGAAAGTGAACCGGTAACCAGTGCAGTGAGGCCAAAACTGGTGTAATGTGCTCTCTTTTGCCTGTACTGGTTAAAAATTGGGCTGCTGCATTCTGGACCAGTTGTAGTCGTGCAATGGAGGTCTGACTGATACCAAACAGGAGTGAATTGCAGTAAGCAAGCCTAGATGTAATTAATGCATATATTACTGTCTCCAGGTTATTTTTGGACAATATGGGCTTCAGTTTAGACAGCCGCCTCAGTTGGAAGAAACATGATTTAACAATCATGTTTACATGATTGTTAAGTTTCAGGGAAGGGTCCATTATCTCGCCCAGATTAGTGACTCTTTGTTTTTCTGACAGGGTTAGAGCGGAGAGGTCGATGCAGTGATTTGTGATCGTGTCGTTGGGAGGGAACAACATGACTTCAGACTTCTTTTCATTGAAACTTAAGAAGTTTAAAGCCATCCAGTCCCTGATGTCAGCCAGGCAGTCGAGCAGCGGTTGAATAGAGCACGTACCATTGTGTCTTAGGGGGAAGTAAATTTGACAGTCATCGGCATAGAAGTGGAAGGGCATGTTGTGTTTCCGGAAAATAGCACCAAGCGGCAGCAGGTATAAAGAGAATAGGAGGGGACCCAGGATGGACCCCTACGGAACCCCCCATTTAAGCTCTGCCTCTGCGGAACTAAAATCCTTGATGTTATCTATATATCTATCATATGTTGATACACACACACAAACACACACACATATATATGTTTGTGTGTGTGTGTTTATGTGCGTATGTGTTTGTATATATAATTATACTCTTTGTATTTATTTATTTGTTAACTGTTAGGCTTCTTGATCTGAGCCCTGAGTCTGAATTTCGTACCATAAACATGCAAATGAGAGCTGGTATGACAATAAAAATCCTTGAATTCTTGAATCCTTGAAAACAGAAGACAGTGTTCTGTAATGAGCCTCCCAACAGGTTCAGTCAGAGTAATTGGGTCAAAACACCGATCCAGCCTGCTATGACTGCTGTGATAAAATGATCAAGAGCTGGAATGATCCTAACCAGTCCAGACCAGAACTAAACTTTAACTAAAGGAGTTTGTTACATGCTAGTCCAACCAGAATCTGGACTCCATTTTACTGAGACTCAGAACCAAGAGTGAGTACAGAACCAGGGACTTGGCCTTAAAGTAAAAAACAAATCTTACTGTTAATTATGTACGTTTACACGTAAATAAACACTGCATCAAATATGTTTACCTATCTGAAAAGGTAGCCATTAGTCATTACTCTTTGTTGAAATCAGGTCTCTGATGAGAAACATGAGTTTCATGTTAACATGAGTCCTCGAGGCTCAGTGGGATTAATCTGTCTAAATAAAGGTTGAATGAATTAGGTATTTTGATTGGCATGTTAACAAATATAATGTATATTTTTAGGTAGAATATATACATATGAGTTTGTCTTTTGGTGCCACCAGGTGAGTTTATTTTGTGCTGCAGTGATGTTTTCTGTGTCAAAACACCTAAAGTTTACCCTGATGCATGCTCAATAATCCAGGTAGAAAAATCTAAAAAAGTTAAATCTGGTCCTCTGGACGTTCAAAAAACAAAACAAAACAAAGCAAAACAAACAAAAAAAAAATGTAGAAACGTTTCGTCTTTCATCCGAAAGACTTCCTCAGTCTGAGGTGCTGTATTCAGCTCAGTCTCTTAAATAGCACCTTCTCAGAGTGGATCAACCAGTTTGCTGCTGACAACCAAAACCAGCTGCTCACATGGTCAAGAAGGACCATCAGCCTCATTAGCAAACTGATTGCTGTTTACTATTCACAGGAGGCTGAGTGATATCACACTTTTTTTCTTGCTTTGTTTTGTTTTGTTTTTTGAATGTCCAGAGGACCAGATTTAACTTTTTTAGACCTAAAGTTTACACTTCCTAAATATTTCAAATATAAATAATTTAATTTCAAATGTTTTAAGCAGCAAGGAAATTAAAGTTGATGTGTTTCTGTCGTTTTTCAGCTTTTGTTGAATCATGAAAAGATTAATTTAATCTGAACAAAACAACATAAATATTTCCTGATGCATGCTCAATAATCCAGGTAGAAAAAAATCTAACAAAATTAAGTCAGGTCCTCTGGACAGAAAAAAAAAAAAAGGAAAACATTAATTTTTCATAAATAAATCTAATTCTAGCTAACACGGCCTTAAAAAAAGTTTAATTTACAGCAAGTTTTACAGAATATCAAACTTTTAAGTTAATCTTAGAGGAGGTTTTTATAAATTTAACAAAGTGTGGATACAGATGTAAAAGTCTGTTTTTTAGGTATAATAGGATAACATGTTTCATTGTGTGAGAATAAAACTTATAATGTGATTATTGTATTATATTATATTATTATAATTATAAATAAGTTAATAATAAAATACTTGTTCAAGTTAAAGTTGGAGGTTTTAAATATAAATATTAATCTGTGTTATTGGGTTTTATATACTAGTATAAATAAAGTTGTGAATAATAAATAAAAAAAAGAGTTATGTAACGATTTTAAAGCTCACGTTCCCAGCACGTGCTATTTATGAACCACAACAAAAACAAAGTTTTAGATACAAATAAAATTCATGGCTAAGAAGTATTCATTTTAAAATGAAGTAGATTAGGCCTTTTTTGTAAGAAAATCTCGTTATTTTCAGATTGAATGAACATTAATGTTGTAAAAGACGTTTCCGTGGAGCAGGCATTTGTATTACGTCATCAACTCAACCAATCAGAAGGCAGTTATGCAAATGAGTAGCTTGTTCCAGGAAGTGGGCTGCTCGTGCAGTTAGCGTTGTTATTTCTTTTCCCTTTTACTTTGCGTGTTTTCCTCCGTCAGAGGGCATGGTTCACATCAGACTGATGTGTTTTAAAGCCGAAAGAATCATATGAAGGTCGGCGGAGGCTTTTAGAGGCTGTGGCAGTAAACATCCAGGAGTTTATCTGCATTTCCAGCTGAGGTTAGTTTGCTTATTTATCTTTATTAACAGAACGAGTTGGAACGGATTTTTATCCCGGGTTGTTTTTCCACATCTAGACCAGGTTAAAAGAAGAATTTAGTCCAGCTCTGAGTGGAAATACTAAAGTCTGACAATAAAACGATAAGACATAACCAGAGCTGGTTTTTGTCCCTGAGGGAAGGTGCCACCCACCGAGAGCCCAGGTTGTTCTTAGCGTTTAACATGTCTTTACATGTTACTTAACATGTTAGTGTCTGTGTAAGGTCTTTACATGTTAGTTAACATGTTAGTATCTGTGTAAAGTCTTTACATATTAGTTAACATGTTGGTATCTGTGTAAAGTCTTTACATGTTAGTTAACATGTTATCTGTGTAAAGACTTTGCATGTTAGTTAACGTGTGTAAAGTCTTTACATGTTACATGCTAGTATCTGTGTAAAGTCTTTACATGTTAGTTAACATGTTAGTATCTGTGTAAAGTCTTTACATTACTATTTGTGTAGTCTTTACATGTTAATTAACATGTTATTATCTGTGTAAAATATTTACATGTTAGTTAACATGTTATTATCAGTGTAGTCTTTACATTATAGCTAAGATGTTATATATTTAAGTCTTTACATGTTAGTTACATGTTAGTATCTGTGTAAAGTCTTTACATGTTAGTTGTTAATATCTGTGTAAAGTTTTTACATGTTAATTAACATGTTATTATCTGTGTAAAATCTTTACATGTTATTACCAGTGTAAAGTCTTTACATTGTATCTAAGATGTTATATTTTTACATCTTTACATGTTAGTTACATGTTAGTATCTGTGTAAAGTCTTTACATGTTAGTTGTTAATGTCTGTGTAAAGTCTTTACATGTTAGTTACATGTAAAGTCTTTACTTGTTAGTTAACATGTTATTACTGTATCTATGTAAAGTCTTTACTTATTAGTTATATGTTGTGTAACCGTCTTCTGCATGTCTTGTTGAGTCATGACAAATAGTAGGAGCAGCTGAACCAGAGTCATAAACATGCTGTGTTTATCTCTAACTAAATATTAACATTACATATTCGGTCTGGATTGTTTTAATGTTAATAACTCCAGCCAGAAGATTAAACCTGCTGCTGAGTTGGAAAATGTTGCTCCTGAAAGCATGGAGACATTCATATTAAATATTATCTGTTCAATTTACTTCACTCAGAACATTTTGTAAACTCTTTCTGTTGAGTTTTTTTTTTTTTTTTTGTGTTTTTTTTTTTTTTTTTTTTGTATTTTGGTTAGTTTATGTCTGTTTGTGGTTCTTTATATTCTGCAGTGTTTCCCCTACCATTATACTGGCGGGGTGCCCCACCCCGCCAACAAAACTGAGCACCCCACCTACCAAACTGAACTTGCCCCTCCCACCCCCACCCGGCACTGGCACATCACTAGGTAGCGGCACAAAATACAGGCTGTCTAGCTAAAAAGCCCAAGGCAGCACTCACATTGCCTCTCCCCTCATGTTGAACGTCCCCCGCTCAAAAACTGTTAGTACAAACTGCGCTCAGACATGTCTCCGTCCCCCCATCAGCAAAAATCATGGATGAGATGAGCACCCCACCATGGCAAGCTAACTAGGGGAAACACTGTTCTGAATGAAATTTTGGGTCAAAGTTTTCTACTAATTTTATTAACCTTTTGTCCTTTTATAGTTGTTTAACTTCCTTCTACACAATGTATTTTTAGTACTGACACCGTTTGTTTAAGTTCAAGTATCTTTATTGTCATTCGCATCATGTGGTGTACATGAGGTGGAACAATATTTTGTACTCAAGGTCCCAGTTACACCCAAAAATAGCAAAAATATAAAAAGAAAAAGTATATAAGGATCTAAGATATACACTAAATGAACGCTAAATAATACGCTAAATGGCTATACGCTAAACACTAATAATATAAAATAATTTTATATTAAACAGCAGCCCTAACATGAGTCTGTAGTGAGTAGATGGGTATGAGTACAGCATCATGAGATATGAGATAGTCATCAGCATGGATAATCAGCAGCACAGATAAGTTGTGAAAACTGACCCAGTAGTTCCTGAGATAATTGGAGTTGAAAATGGGCAACCACTCATTTTTGCCAAAAATCTGTATATTTTGGGGCCATATCTCTGGAACCACTGGTCCAATTGACCCAAAATTTGAGATGCTGCGCTGTGGGATCATGTGTCTTCAAAATTTGAGGTGTCCAGGTTGTTGGGTGATTTGGCAAGGAACAACTGATCATCAGCTGTTTTTAAACAGAGTTTATCAGGGTTTAATTCAGTGTCTCCTCGTGTTATTTGAGGTTATTATTGTTATATTTGTTATTATTCTTTAAAAAACAGATATGAAAGAATGTCATTTATGGTAAGTTTCTATTTAAGTATGAAACAAAGCCTTTTTCTGCAACCTGATTTATTATTTTTAACACAAGTATTGCTCAGACAGCTTGCGGTATCTGTTTTAAAGTTGACTCTTTCTCCATAATTAAAGTATTTGTGTATTTTTATGTGTGTGTTTTACTTTTTTCCCAGGTTTGACCACTCTACTGTGATTTAAAGTCTACTTGATACTGGAGACAAACTTGAAACATCAACGTAAGTAAATTATTTCTTCCCATTTGCTGTTTATTCCTGTTTAATGCATTGATATGTGCTGTTAAATTATGTTTCCCCTCCTCTTCCTGGTCATAATATGTTGCTGCGTGAAATGTTGCATTAAACTTCCTCTTTGTGAACTTCTGTTCTGTTCTATGCTCCAACATTACTTCTGTCATCAATTTAAACACATAGCAGCATATCTCAACAACTCATGTTTTTGTGCTGCATGTCATGATGCAGTCCTATCTGCTTCCTGTAAATTAGTTTAATCTGGGCCTCTAGGGTTGATCTGACTGAGATAATCTGTGTTCTTGCAGATCTACTTTTACAAACAAGAACATCCAGGTCAGTTGGAGACCATTGGCGCTTTTTGTTTCACTTTATCTTCCAGGTTCTGGTGGTCCTCAGGGTCCATTCAGTGGTATTCAGAAGTATCTCTAGTATAAATGTTTTGTTTGTTTTTCAGAATAATCATGAGCGCCCACGAGTCAGAGCTGCACACCATCTCTCCGGAGCTGCCGGCCATGTTTGACGGCGTGAAGCTGGCGGCGGTAGCCACCGTGCTCTACGTCATTGTCCGCTGCCTGAACCTGAAGAGCCCCACAGCGCCGCCGGACCTCGCTTATCAGGACACCCCGCTCACCCTTTTCCTGCTCAAGTCCTGCTCTCAGCTGACCAAAGAGTGAGGACATACACACGCATGCACACTCTGATTGCCTGTTTGAAAACAAACACAAATAATTATTTAAACTCACATCCCTATTTCGGAGCATGCATGCATGCATGCATGCATCCATCCATCCATTATCTTTACCCGCTTCTTCCTTTTTGGGTCACGGCGGTTACTGGTGCCATTGTCCAGCAGTCACTGTGCGAAAGGTGGGGGACACCCTGGACAGGTCTCAGTCCATCACAGGGACAAAGAGACAAAAGAGACGAACAACCATTCACTCTCTCACTCACACCTAGGGACAATTTAGAGTTACCAATCAGTCTAACATGCATGTTTTGATCTGTGGGAGGAAACCAGAGTACCCAGAGAAAACCCATATATGCACGGAGAGAACATGCAAACTCCGCCCAGAAAGGTCACATGCTGGGATTTGACCCGGTGACCTGCTCACTGAGAGGCGGCAGCTCTACCAACTGTGCCCTGTTTCAGAGCAGCTTATTATTATTTTGTCATTTATTCTTTAATTTGACCCAACTTTTATTAGTCACTGTCTTAGATGCAGATTGGTCAGCTTGCTCTATTTACGTATTTATAAACTTTATTTCTGCATTTTTAACTGAAATATCAGACTCTTAAGATAAATCAGACATGAAAACAGTCCTAAACTACCAAACCTAGTTGTAACCAACCGAAACCCTCTCCTCCAACTAACAAAACAAAAATAAAAGGACCTGAAAGGACACAGCTCACCAGGTTTGTTGTTTATTTATTTGTAACGGGGTGTCAGGATGAATCGTTTAACTTCAATCATTTTTAAAAGAATGGTAAATGGACTGTACTTATATAGCGCCTTTCTATCTTATCAAGACACTCAAAGCGCTTTACACTACAATCTGTGTCCTCATTTACCTCCACACACACATTCATACAGCACTCTACTATATCTTTACAAAGCTAATCTGAATTTGTAGAGACTAATCAGAGCTTTATCACATTCATACACCGATGGGACACACATTGGAGACAACGAAGGGTTCAGTGTCTTGCCCAGGAACTTTTCAGCATGTGACTGCTGGAGGAATCGAACCCCCAACTCTCCCATTGGAGGAGGATTGTTCTAACTACTCAGCCACAGCTGCCCCACGTGTTTTAGTTATCACTTGAGTACTAGAGGAAATGCAACAACAGTCAGGTCATCTTAGCTCTGTCTAAAAGAATGAAAGTTTAGGAATGTTTTCATGTCTGATTTAATTAAGGAGTCTGATATTTCAGTTAAAAATACAGAAGAAGGGAACATTTAATCTGACCTCTGAACTCCACCTCATATGACCATATCAGTTTCCTGTTCCTGTTATGTGATATGGGCTCACACACGCAGTGAAAAGGCAGCCACTTCACTGACAAGTCCCCACTTTTATAATGTACCCGTCCTCTTGTCTCCTAACACAAAAACAACAAGATCAGTTTGAATCAATGTTTTTAACTAACCTAAACAAGTGTTTTAGTTATTATCAGTTGAGTACCAGAGGAAACTCAACAACAGTGAGGTCATCTTCCTGTTCTCCTCAGCGCCATCTAAATGAACGACTGCAGTGCTGTTTGATTACATTATCACTCTTTGGGAGGTTCTGATCTGCCGGTGCTGTCAGGTGTTGTCAGAGCGTCAGTCCAAGATGAAGCCAGGGTTAAAGTTCTTGTTTAACTGCTGGTTTCAGCCGATTGTCGTCTCCCTGCAGCTGTTTATTACACGTGCGGTACGGTTGTTAGACTGTACCCACAATGCAACACTGCTTCAGGTCACAGAAAAGCTGCGTTTACATCATCTCATCCCCTCTCAGGGGACCCATTCTGCACTCCACAGTCAGCAAGGAAAATCAAACGTTGGAACGTTTCCTCACATCAAACTATAATTTTAGCTGCTAAACTTTTTAACTTTTATCGTTCTTCACGGTGAAGTCCTGGTAAAAACAAAGAACACGCCCCACCCCACCTCAATGAACTGAAGCAACGCTGGAAAGAAGAGTGAGGTCATGAGAGAGGCTGATAAAGTCCTACAGAAAACTACTGAGGGTTATACTGCTGCTTCTGTTGGGTCAGGACCTGGAACCAGGTTCTGTTTAATAAACAGAGACTCAGTGGAACCTGTTGTTGTTGATGACTTCAGGTCAGATTTCTGGACTTTCTGCTGAATCATAACTGGTCTTTTTAAACTTGTTCGTGTGATTTTCCTTGTGGCTCAGAAACAGGTGGGTGTTTCACGTCGTTGCTCAGCAGTGACAGAAAGATTGTGCAAGTGTTGGAGTTCAACTGGGGGCTCCTGCAGAGCTTAAACCAGCAACAGCTGACAGGAAACCTTCGTGGTGTTCCACAGCAGATATATTTACACTGAACAAAAATACAAACGCAACTTTTTTGTTTTTGCTTCCATTCTTCATGAGCTGAACTCAAAGATCTAGGGCTTTTTCTAAGTACACAAAAAGGCCTTTTTCTCTCAAATATTGTTCACACATTTGTGTAAACCTGTGTTAGTGAGCACTTTGTTACTGAGATAATCCATCCACCTCACAGGTGTGGCAGATCAACATGCTGATTAGAATGGACTGTACTTATATAGCTCCTTTCTATCTAATGAAGATACTCAAGGTGCTTTACAACACAAGCTCATTTCCCTCATTCTTGCAGCACTCTAGAACATCTCTACAAAGATAATCTGAACAAATTATTCTGAGACTAATCAGTGCTTTAGATCACATTCATACACCGATGGGACACACATCGGAGGCAATGAGGTGTTCAGTGTCTTGCCCAAGGTACAAAGTGTCAGAAATCATTGCAGAGAAGCTCATGTGCATGGACAACAAACAATGGTGCATTTTATCGATGGCATTTTGAATACACACACAGATACTGTGACGAGATCCTGAGGCAGTTCACCCACAACCATCACCTCATGTTGCAGCATGAAAATGCACAGCCTCATGTTGCAAGGATCTGTGCACAATTCCTGGAAGCTGAAAACATCCCAGTTCTCTTGAGGTTTCTTCCTTTTAAAAGAGAGTTTTTCCTTTCCACTGTTGCCACTGTGCTTGCTCAGGATGGGAGACTGCAACGAAGCCAAGATTCAACTTGTCTGCTGGATGCCTTAGAGAACTTTACTAATTGGCTTTAATGTATGTGAATGTTTCTGTGAAGTGCCCCAAGACAACTTTGTTGTGATTTGGCGCTATATAAATAAACTGAATTGAAAACCGAATTAAATTCTCGCATGGCCAGTGTCAAGGGAATTTAGGTGTTTACCAGTAACTAATGTTAAGTTGATGTATATGAGTTAGAGAGTTTTTTTGTCTCAAGAGAGGAGCCTGCAGGTGCATGGAGGAGCACTGATAACTCCAAGGTCGCCTCCTCGTCTGTAAGCTGGAAAGCCGAGGTCGTCTTGACCTCGCCTCTGTCTGATAACGTGTATTACCTGCGCAGATTCTCACTGACGAGGCTCAAAGCATGTAACTTTTGTACATCTGTGAAAGCTTCCTCGTGATGTCTACCCTTGCAGCAAAGACCGGTTTAAAAATCCTCAGAGTGGCTTATTTGAGTAAAGAGATGATGAAAGGATATTTATTTTATCCAACAGTCAGCATACTCACCAGACATGTCACCCATAGAGCATGTATGTGATGCTCTGTATCAACCTATACAACAGCGTGTTCCAGTTCCTGACAATATCCAGCAACTTTGCAGCCGTTGAAGAGGAGTGGACCAACATTCCACAGGCCACCGTCAACAACCTGATCAACTCTATATGAAGGAGATGTGTTGCACCGTGTGAGGCAAATGGTGGTCACACCAGATACGGACTGGTTTTCTGACTCCCCCCAGACTCCCCAATACAGTACAACTAATCAGCATCTTGATATGCCACACCTGTGAGGAGGTTGGATTATCTTGACAAAGGAGAAGGGCTCACTAACAGATTTACACCAATCTGTGAACAATACTTGAGAGAAAAAGACTTTTTGTGTTCATAGAAAAAAAATCTTAGATCTGTGAGTTCAGCTCATGAATACTGGGAGCAAACATCAAAGTGTTGCATTTATATTTTTGTTCGGTGTATGTAAATTATGAGACGTGAAATAAAAAGAAGTTCCTTTCTGTTCGAGCCAACGATGAGAAGCATCTGAGTTCATATTAACTTTGTGTTCTGACCGAGTCCAGATGAGCTGGAGTTTTAGAACCATGTGCTGTTTTTCAGGTACGTTCCTCCACTGCTGTGGGGTAAGAGCGGCCATCTCCAGACGGCTCTGTATGGTAAACTGGGTCGGGTCAGCTCGCCCCATCCGAGTGGGATCAGGAAGTATTTACCCATGCAGGACGGGGCCACAGCGACCTTTGACCTCTTTGAGCCTCTGGGGGACCACCAGACTGGAGGTGATGTCACTGCAATTTGTTTTTAATTCCCGGCTTCATCAGATTTAAATTTTGTCACAATGATCTGTTTGTCCCCTGAAAACGTTTCTGCAGACGACATCACCATGGTGATCTGTCCTGGGATCGGAAACCACAGTGAGAAGCACTACATCCGGACCTTTGTGGACCACGCTCAGAAGCAGGGGTACAGATGTTCTGTGCTGAACCACCTGGGTGCTCTGCCCAACATCGAGCTCACGTCTCCACGCATGTTCACCTACGGTGAGTTCTTTGGGCTTTACACAAGAACTCAGGTTTGGTTCTGGTCCGATTCATTACTGTTGACTCGTCTCAGGTGTTCTTGGCTGAAGCTCACAAATATTACTCTGAAAATATAGATTAGCATTCATTCATAAACAACCTTGGTTGAGGGAAGGGCACACAGACAGTCATCAGCTTTCAGTGATGGATGATGATGATATTTAAAGTGGTTCAGTAAAGATTTTGGTGTCGTCTCGTCCTTCAGACAGATCTGAGTTCTTCATGTTGAGTTAAGACAGGAAGTCTTTCTGCAGGACTCTGACTCCCTGAGATGAATCAAATGTCTCCTCCTGACTGGATCAGTAACTCCGCTCTCTCTGGCAGGGTGCACGTGGGAGTTTGCAGCCATGGTCGGGTACATCAGGCGCGCGTACCCTCAGACCCGGCTGGTCGTGGTGGGCTTCAGTCTGGGCGGGAACATCGTCTGCAAGTATCTGGGTGAGAACAAAGCCAACCAGGAGCGAGTGCTGTGCTGTGTGAGCGTCTGCCAGGGCTACAGCGCTCTCAGGTGGGTCCTCCTCTTACTTGGAATTAAGTTCATCCTGCATCAGTACTTCCTGTTCACACGTTTCGCACACATGTGCAGGCCTGTGTGTGCTTATGACTCGTCTCTGTTCGGCTGTCTGAAGCTGTTGAACGGGTTTTTAACTCAGGCTAACCTGTCAGCTTTTCACAGAGCTGAGTACAAATGTGGATTTTTTTAAACTTTAAATCAGAAGAATGACTGATCCAGCATGAGAAACAGAACCAGCACTCCTCTTTTTGTCCCGTGGATCCGTCGGGTGGGCTCAGTTTATGGTCTGGTTCTGGTCAGACTGCAGAGGAGCTCTCCAAAACTAATTTATTTTGTCTCTTAGGGCTCAAGAAACGTTTCTTCAGTGGGATCAGTTCCGACGCTTCTACAACTTCCTCATGGCCGACAACATGAAGAAGATCATCTTCTCTCACAGGTACACACAGGTACACACACAGGTACACACAGGTGTACAGATAGGTACACACAGACAGTCACAGGTACACACAGATACACACAGGTGTACACAGGTATACACATGTACACGCAGATACAGGTACACACAGACATACACAAATACACACGTGTACACAGGTGTACACAGGTATATACAGGTACACACAGGTACAAATAGGTACACACAGGTGTATAGATAGGTACACACAGACACTCACAGGTACACACAGATACACGCAGATACAGGTACACACAGATATACACAGATACACACATGTGTACACATATGTACACAGGTATACATAGTTCCACACAGGTACTCACAGGTACACACAGATACAAACATGTGTACACAGGTATACACAGGTACACACAGATACACACAGGTGTACACAGGTATACACATGTACACGCAGATACAGGTACACACAGCTATACAGATATACACAAATACACACGTGTACACAGGTGTACACAGGTATACACAGGTACACACAGGTACAGGTGTACAGATAGGTACACACAGACACTCACAGGTACACACAGATACACACAGGTGTACACAGATATATACACATGTGTACACAGGTGTACACAGGTACTCACAGATGCAGGTACACACATATATACACAGATACTCACAAGTGTACACAGGTATACACAGGTCCACACAGGTACTCACAGGTACACACAGATACAAGCAGGTGGACACAGGTATACACAGGTACACACAGATACACACAGGTGTACATAGGGACTCACAGGTATAAACAGGTACACTTAGATACACACAAGTGTACATAGGTACACTACACACATATGTACACAGGTATACACAGATACACACGTACTGACAGGTACACATAGATACAGGTACACACAGATGTGCACAGATACACAGGTGTACACAGGTATACACAGGTGCTCACAGGTGCACACAGATACACACAGGTGTACACAGGGACACAGGTATAAACAGGTACACTTATATACACACAGGTGTACACAGGTACACTTAGATACACACAGGTGTACACAGGTACAAGCAGGTGTAAACAGGTACACAGACATACACAGGTATCAACGGGCACAGAATTAACTTGTCTTCATATGAAACACTAAATGTGTCACTAACAGGTACCTCCTCCTCTCTTTGCCATTCTGATTGGACTCGTATCACACAGCTGTGGCAGTTTGAGGTCGCAGATTTTTATTCCTAATTAAATAATCACTTTGTGCTAATTACACAGTCCTGGGAAAGAGAAAGTCCACTCTTGTTCGATCAGGATTTTACCAATCAGGACTTAATCAAACTCATCTGGTTTAAAATTATTAAAACTGTGTTCTGGATCAGTTTTCTGTTGGACTCTGTTTGGTCCTGTTGGACAGATGGACTCACATTTATGTCCAGAACCCTTTGGTCTCCAAAAGAGTTCATGGTCTACTCAATGACTGACATGAGCCCAAACCATCAGCCCTCCACAACCACACTGGACTGTAGAGTCCGAGGTGGAGTTCACTGCACCGTCTGACCTTCAGGGTAAATCATCTTTCTCTCTGCAGAACGATGGACCTTTGAAATGACCTTTGACCTTTATCAGGTTGATGAACAGCAACAGCTGCTTCTCTGCGGTACAGTAATTGCTGATGTATTTTCTTCTTGGTGTTGTGTTAACACACACCTGTATGGTCCAGATCAGAGGTGGCCCCCCTGATGAGGAACAATTGATCAGCAGCTCCTGATCCTGGACCTCTGAGGTCCAGTGGAAGCAGCAGGACTGGAACCAGTTTGACTTGGTGGACTCTGGTATTTTGGTTCTCTAGAAGTTAAATTAGAACCTTTTCAGAAGATAAAGATCAGATCTGGTTATTTTGTTCTAAAACTTGAGAACTTGGCTTTTCTTTTCTTTGTGTGTGTGTAAAACAGACACAGTTTGTTTGGAGGAAGCTCGGTGAAAACCATCGATGCAGATCTCAGCCGACTCTTCACAGCGACGTCTCTCATGCAGATTGACGACAACATCATGAGGTAAATCTGAACCAGAAGAAGAAATGCTGTCAGCGTTGAAACTCCTAAATCTGATGATTGTTTTGTTTCAACAGAAAATTTCACGGCCACAGCTCCCTCAAAGAGTACTACGAGAAGGAGAGCTGTGTTCATTACATTCACAACGTAAGGCCTGCTGTCTGCCCCCCCCCCCCCCCCCCCGCCTTCTTCCATTTTATTCACAGTTTTCCTGTCTCTGCAGGTAAATGTGCCGCTGCTGCTGGTGAACTCTGCAGATGATCCTCTGGTTCACGACTCGCTGCTCGCCATCCCGCGCACGCTGGCAGGTGCATGTTGGAACAACACATTAAAACTGTTTCTATGACTGATGTGGACCATCACACCCAGTCCTTTTAGCAGAAACAGTTTTTGTTTATCTCATCCCCTGAACTTGAAGACCAGATCCTTTTTATTTATTTGAATCCTTATTTTCCAACATCCAACTTCAAAAATTCATAAAAACAACAAGTTTGAGTTTGTTCTGGATTTTTTCTGATCCACATTTTGAGTCAGAATTATACATACCCACTTAAATAGGTCCACACATTCCCCTAAATCTGTTCCTGAAAGGCTTTTAACTTGACGAGGCCTGTTAACTTCCTATTCCTGATCATGGTTGAATGAAGCTGTAGATTCTCTTAAAGAAGATGATCTGCTGATCAACGTTAGGCTCGTCTGACTAGTCCCAGAACTGGTATTCTGTCTCCGTACTTCAAATCACAGCAGGGTGCAGCTTACAGTAAAGGTGTGGTTAACCATTTTTATTGTTGAAGCAAAACAGAATGTTTGAAGTGACGTTACCTCATCTTCAGGTTCATAAAAATAGTTTAATTTTTACAACAATCTGAACAACAGCAAAAAATAAGCACGAGCTGCTCTTAGCATAACAAGAATTCGTTATTAATTGTAGCGTTTAAGTAAGATAAGATAAAATAGATAACATAAGAACTTTATTGATCCTGCAGGAAATTGTTGTGCCAGAATTTCAATACAAAATGATCATACACAAGGAATCACACAAGATGTTGAATCAAAGTTCTTACAATAAGTTTGAGTGTCTAAATGATGAATTCACACCTGAATTTGTTAATTATTATAAATGTGAGAAAAGTACCTGCAGGTTCTGATGAAACTTACAACAGATCTGGGTTCAGGAGAGACTCCATTAAGGTCCAGATCTGGACCACACTCTGTCATCTAAAGACCGGTTCTGTAAAGGATCGAAAAGCTGTGATGCTTTGAAACAATTGCTGCAGTTTATAGATTATTACAGATGTTTACAGATTTGACATATAGCTGTTTGCAGATGAATATAGATGTTTACAGATGATTATAGATGTTTACAGATAAATGTAGATGTTTATTACAGATGTTTACAGATGAATATATATGTTTACAGATTAATATAGATGTTTACTGATTATTATAGATGT